GGGTGTGTCTAAATTCAGAGGTGGCATCCAGGCCTGCACACCCACCCTGCCAGTTTCCCAGAATACTTTTGCATTCTGCCGGCCACTCAAGAGGTCCAAAACCCAGAGGCAGAGGAGGTTACATACAAGAAGCAGGAGCCAGAGTCATCCTTAAATCAAAATGCTGAATCAGTTTCACTAGTGGTGCTCGATCCCCTATTCTTAGCAACTGGAGAGAAGTGTTCATCCAATCAATTAACTTATTCCTGACTTGCAAATTTGTTTATTTGGTGGTTAGTTATGGACTAAAACCATTAGCAAGTTGCTTTTATTTTTATGGAATAAAATGATGGAGAAATATATAAAGTATTTGAAGGCTTTTGCGTAAGTAATCTGATGAAGAGCATTGCTGAGAATCTGGAAGTTAAAGGAAACAAAAAAGCTTTGGGAAGAAAAGGTCACAGATTCTACAAATTCACACAACTTACTTGTAGAACAACCCCTCAGGTCTTCTGTTAGAGCCTATTTACTCTAATTTTAGCACATGTCAAATGGGTGTGGTTGTGTTTAAATGGTTCCCCAGCCCACAGTAAGTCAGAGGTAGCAAATTAGTTAAGAGTTGGAGGAAGCACTCTGAGGCTTCAAGAAGTGACAGCTGACAGGCTAGCTGTGCGTAAAAAGACTGAAAACCCTATAAAAAGCAGATGGAACTCAAAAAGAATTTGGTGCAGGTGCAATTACTCCCAGATGTCATACATAGTGCAGAAATGATGTTTACAATGATTGCCCTGAATTATTGAGAAAGAGTTGATATGTCCATGGTAAAACATCTCTAAGACATTTTAGAGGATATGTGTAATACATTTTAGTATGCTTTCCACTAAAATAAAAATCAAAGAAAAACAGCATTGGCTTTTGAACATAGAAGCTTTAGTTTTCTAAACTATTGACCGTTTGTTCCTCGTGTCAAACTAGGCATCACTGAATTTAGAATTTTAAAATACCAACTTTTAAAAAGGTGGTTTTATATTTGCTTGGAGTTTTCAATATGAAATCTCTGAACGACCGTAAGAAACCCAATTTAAGACAAATGTATGATTCCTAGAATAACATTTTTTAAAGTACATGCTGCACGTTTTCTAGTATAAATCCCATCTTAATCAAAGAAAATATGTGATAATTTCCCATGTCAATCCCTTAAATTTCTCTATGAGAAACTGAAACTTACATGAGACTTTAGCATGCACTGTAAATCCACCTTGAACTTGTTTAAAATAACAGTGAGGACACTGAGTAGTTCTAATATATTGAGCTGAGGGTCCAATATGTTAAGAATTTTTGTTTAATGGAAATATCAGGTTGCCACCTGAAGTAAAATACCGTGATCACAACAGTACAGCCAGCTTTTGGCAGTATAATAGTCTAAAGTCATTCATGAGAGCTCTGTTCATTTCTAGCTAATGTAAAAGTCCTTCGTGTGTTTGCCCAGCCATGTCTCCCCAGAGGTTCTGCTGGCAGTCACTTTCCATGGAAAGGTTAAGAATTGACCCATGACATAGAAAGGAGCAGGTTGAGCCTCCTTTTACATAACTTTTGAACAAATCTCAGGTGATGGGCAATAACCAAAGTCATGGCCTGGATGGCCAGAAACAAGGAACTAAATGAAAAATAGTTTCACAATGACAGGAACTAAAACTCCAGTCAAGTTTTACACAGCTATTACAGTGCTGTTTCTAAGTGCCTTGAAAACGTGCTTAAATTTAGCTCTTTGGGGTAGGAGGAAGGGCCATTTTTTCAATACAGTATAAAGTTTGCTAAGAAATATGTGTATATAAAATTAATCTTTACAAAGATTATGTAAAATATATGTATGTAAAATTAAATTTTTATGAGCATATTATACTTATAAAAGCATTATTGACTCAAGATTCATATTTGCCTGAAGTTGGAAAATCATTTTAGCTGAAATTTCACCATTACAAGTATAGAAGCCTCCTTAGTGAATTATGACTTCAGCCTTTTAATTCATTAAATCAATGACCAAAATGACATTTTTCAGATTTTCAGATGCAATATAGACAATATTATTTTTGCTTTTCTGTTCTAACTTTATCTTATCATGTTACCATATGGGCACTTGGACTAAACAACTGACCTATATAATCTGGCTCAACTCTGAAGTTTTTTTAATCTCATTATACTAAAATTATACACATGCTAAAAACATTGTATTATCCTCTGATTTAGTTTTAATCCTTTTTGGTTATGAAACTAATATTACTACAGTAGTAGCCTTAAAATCTAGCTCAAAATATTTGAAATTCTGTTTTTCCCATTATTCTGATTGAGATAGACTATTTTTCTAAAGTTCAATAAATTAACAATGCTCAAAAATCTTACATAATTTTCTAGTGTTAATTTCAATTTCCTTTTTTTTTTTTTTTTTTAATGGCTTGTTATGAAGCTTCCTGAAGGCTAATCAAGTTCAGCTTACTAGGTCCAAGATACTGTAATAGGAAGTAGTTCACTGACTGAGGAATACAATAGAGCTGGCCGCTAGTGCTAGTGCTGACTCTAGGTAGCTCTATGACCTTGGGAAGATACTTAATATCTCTGGGCTTCCCTTTTTCTTTTTTTCCTATCACCAAATGCAGGGGACTGGATGAGCTGTAGTTCCTTCTGGCTCCACACTGTATGACTGGCAGTTCAGTTGCCATAAAGTCAGCAGAGGGAGCACTTTTTCTACATCTTATACAATCTCTCATTTAAAGATTGTTCAAAAATCAAGGGGTTTGTAAAGAACATTCCTGAAACTAAAAGCTGACAATCCTTCACTCAGTTTGTATCAAATCACAGACCTGAATGGAAATTTGAGAAAAGTCTAGAAATTCTTATCCTGGAATTCCATGATTAAGTCCCATGACAATTATTTTATAAAAATTAAGAAGCCAAAATGCTCTTAAATTAAGCACCCCTATGTGATCATCTATTTATACGAGACCCAGTGAAAGAGAAACACCTGACCATACAAGAGAGGCTATCTGATGTCATAGATGAAAAGTGAAAAACCTGTCAATCATAAAAACAATAGAAAATTGGGTCTAACATAAACAACCACACAAGTTAATTGGTAGGTTTTTCTTTTGCACTTTTCATTAAGATACACTGGGAACAAGCAGGTGCAGCCAGAGGCTGGAGGCTTGCAAGAGATTGGAAATGTGTGATATCAAGCCAATGACAAAAAACTGTGTATCTGAGAACCTTAGTGATTTGCATCCCTATAGTCACAGATATCTTAAAACTAATAGAGCATCCATTATGTCTTTTTTAATTATTAGACAATATCATATTGTATATTAAAGTTTTTATTCCTTAGTAAGAATTTTTAAATCACAAAATAGTGTGGCAATATTTAGGTAATAGAACTTATGGAGTGCTGAAAATACGAGAATATAAAGATAATTTCTAGTTTATCTTCACATACTAAACTTTTCTAAACCAGCTGGTTTCTTGCAGACAGTATTTATTTTTTTTTTAAATAATTTAAGACAGCGTAAGCTTGTACCAAGCATAAGCATTGCAACAAAAGTGCAACTTTTCAGCAAATCCTCCCCAAGAGAGATTCTAACTCAAAATATCATTAGCACATATTTTCTCCCTACAAAAATAGCATGTCAGACATCATTAATTGGATGTATTAACAACTATGTACATAAGAGCCACCTTGTAGGCTAAGAGTTTAACGTTGTTTAAACACAGCGTTTGAGGCAAACAGTAGCAACAGCAGCAGCAAATGCACCAAACTGACGAAAAGACCCAGATATTTTCCTCACTCATAGTCAGACTGTTGTGTCTCACCCCTTACATAACATTCAAGTGAGATTTCTCACAGTGCTACCTTGGCAACAAACTAAAAATATCTAGACAAGGTCTTGGTTTAAGCCTTATTAAAAAAGCTTTCTTTGTGATTATCTGGTATCTGGTTTGGTCTCCAGAAAATACATAGACTTGGAGATAGGAAGGCCTCACAGGACTTCATTCCACATCTTTACAGCATCTCCAATCAAAACTGACAAGTTAAATGCTTTCATTCACTTTTGTCATTTAACAGAATATAGGCTGTATCAGCTTGGACTTGTTTTTTTTTTTTTTTTAAGTTCAGTGCACTTTTTACAGTAAGATTATAAAAATTTAGGAACATGATTAATGAGAGTGGAAATAGATGCACTTGAGATACATATGTATAGGTACCTATCTATGGATAGAAATCTGTATAGATAGGTATCTATATATGGACTAAGAAGAAATTAAGGTGAGTCCATTGATTCATAGTCAATTTCTCAATAAAGTGTTAGCAAATGTACTAGGAATGATTCTGGCCTTCCTCATCCGTCTCCTTCCCTGACTTAGTTCTGACGATGGCCCAGCTCCGTGTTTCTTTAATAAGTGCAAGTTATTAAGAGATACCATTTAAACCACTTCAGAATAGGTTGCAACGTGAGCAACTGCACCCTCACTTCTTTGAAACATATATGCCTTTCAGAAAGCTGAATATTATAAAACAGCGAAGAGTAAATTTAATTCTAAAAGATCCTCAATCTGTTTGTGGAAAGCCTCCTAAAACAGTCAGGGCAGCTTTAAGAAGTAGCTCTAGATAACTACCTGCTGTTCCATGTCAACTGCAGTCAAGACGTCAACGGTGTTAGCATCTTCCCCCTAACCCGGTTCACCTAGCTCACCCACAGAACACTCTTCTTACTCCCTCTCGAATTCGATTCCAATTTTAAGAGATAATGGAACATGGCCTAAAAGAGGGCAAAACTTATTTGGGGGATTATTTAAAAAAAAAGAAAAAAGAACCAATGTCTTTCGTAAAGGATCTTTTACAGCTGGTGGGGGGAAGAAAGGGATGTTAGTGTGTGGAGGGTGGGGTGGTGAGGAATGAGCAAAACAGGAACTCCAAATGTACACAAAACACCTGTTTTGTTCTTGTTTATGCCTGTCGTGCATCTATCACACTTCCTCCCTTAAAGACGTTAAGGGTGTTTTTACTTCTCACTCCGCTTGAACCTCCGGCCTTTGGGACGCAGGGATTCAGGGGGCTTCCTTTCCTGGCTGCGAGGGATCTTCCTGAGCAGAGCTCTCCGGGTTCCCCGGCTCGCGGGGGCCGGCGAAGGGCAGGTGGGTGCGGCCGTGCGGGTGCGGGGGGTGCGGAGCCCCAGGGGGCGCCACCTCGTGCGGCAGGAGGGTCGCGGCGGCGGCGCCCGCCTTCTCCGGAGGGGGCGACAACACCGAGGACAGGCAGGGGAAGGCGGCGGCGGCGGCGGCAGCGGCGGCGGCGGCGGCGGCGGCGGCCGGGGCGGGGATGCCGGGGTACAGCAGCGGGAACGGGGCGGCGGCCGCCGCCGGGTACAGATACTTCTCCAGGCCGCTCTTGTCCAGGAAGGGCTGCACGTAGGCGGCGGCTGCAGAAGGCGAGAGGAAGTAGAAGGGCAGGCAGAAGGGGGCCGCGGCGGCCGCGGGCTGCGGGAAGGGCGCGCCCCCGCCTCCGCCGAACGCCACCAGCGAGCTGAGCAGGGCGGCGTCGGGTCTCAGCAGCGCGGCCGCGGCGGCAGGGTCGGGCCCCAGGAGCGCGGCTGCCGCCGCCGCCGCGCCGCCCCCCGGGCCGCCGCCGCCGCCACGGGAATCCAGCTTCATCCTCTTGGGCGCCGGCGAGTCCTCCCCGGGAGGCTCCTGCTTGATGGTGACGCGGCTCGCACCCGCGCCTTTGCCCTTCTCGCGGTCCGGCCGGGCCTCGGCTTCGCCGCCGTAGCCGCTGTCGGTGTCCGTGTCGTTCTCGGCGGCGAGCTCGGCGCTAGGCTGAGTCCGCTGGATGACCGGCACGCAGTGGGCGAGGGGCTCCAGCTTCTGCCCCGCGCGCTCCAGGCAGGGGGCGGCTGCGGACCCGGCAGCCGAGGGAGCGCCGGTGCCTTTGCTCAGAGGGACCTGTTGAGTCAACAGCTGAGGGGTGGGCAAGAACTGGGTGGCCACGGCGTGCAAGTGGTTGATCAGCTGGACACACCGCGGCTCCCTGGGTGTCCAGCTCTCAAACCGGGAGAGGTATTGCAAGACTTCTTTGGCGCATGTTTGAAATCCCGAGTGGAACGCATCCAAGTCGGACTGAATGGGCGATTTCAGAGATCGCTCCCCTAGGATGAAGATGGGGTGGGGGTGGGAGTGGGGGACGGAGAAGTGGAGGCAAGAAGAAACATACCCACGTTAAAACATCTGCTTATCACGTGGGCTCTGCATCGACTAAAGTGATCTCGGTTTTCCCCCAGTATTCAAGTGATATAATCCACCGGTTGCCGAGATAAGGGGAGGGTGGCGGAGGTGCGGAGCGGGGAGGGGGCGCTCTCCTCCCAGCTGAAAACCAAAGTGGAGAGGGTACAACCGCCACTTTAAATAAAAACCTGATTCCTCCGAGTTCTACTGAAAGCCTCTAGGATGCTTCGGGAAATGGGATCTTTCCAATGAAGGGAAAGTATAAGCAATGTAACAAATGAAAGAGAACCCTTGGGCCCACGGAAGGAGGTGGGGTACCGGTGAGGGAGCCCTGACACTGCTCCCCTGTAGGCTACCCCGCTTCATCGGGGTAGGCTGGCCTCCTTGAACTGACTTACCATTCTGTAAAGCAATTATCTTCTGATGCTGCTGCTCGGTTAAGGCGGTTAAAGCTTTTAAGTGTTTCAAAGTTAATTCCAAGACTACGGCTTTCTCCAGATGCCCCAGAGTCTGCAGTAGTGCAAAAAAGAAAGAGGCACTTGGTTACTTAAAAACACACACTTGGCTTGAATGGCTGTCCATTCAGCACAGCAATTTAAGTAACCTCTTGGAAAGAAGTACTATTCTTATACTTCTTGAGCTTTCCACAAGACAGGTTATAAATGATTTCTTGCCTTCAGCTGGGAGCACCTACTCTGAGTTTGAGGGAAACTCTGTACAGTATAGCACAAGTTGTAAGTTAGGAACTTATATTTACATTTATTCTCGTATTTTCTGGGAGTCGCACCAGGCTATTAACACGCCCTTGGAGAGCGGCAAAGAATGAAAATGTGCATCTTACTGTCAATTTCAGATGTTCAGGCAGTAGATCTTTCAGCTGAGCAATGCATTCATTAATTCGGTCTCTTCTTTTCTTTTCTATTAATCTGTGCGGTAATTTGTAGGTATCCTTAATATATGAGAGTCGTGGAAGAGAGAAAACAATAAGCGAAACATTCACTTATTGGATATTACCCTCATCTGCCCGCCCCCCCCCCCAAACATACTGTGTGACAAACTACACCCAAGAAACCTCTTTCCTTTCCTCTGGACTGTTCTGCAATGCAATTTATATTCAGGTATGATGTTTAATATCCCCCTGAGGGTACCCAGCAAGTCACTTAAAATTCACAGTTGTGGAAGCCCAGGGGCTGAATTATATTTGCGGGCAGAGCTTCACTGTGAAACCAATGGCCCTAATTAACTATCCATGCAGGTTATGAGGAACATCGGGAACTACACTTACCTTGGTGTCATCTCGTTTCATGCTCCTTTTGGGTTTACACATATACAAGGAGGAATAGTCCAGTCTGCAAAACAGAAATCAGCATCAGGCACCATTCGGGGAGGGGCTCTGTCCTTGCAAGCCCCATACCACTTTCTGGAGAAGAAAAAAATCAAACCAAAGCCTAGACAGATATTTGCAAGGGTGCGTGCACCTTACCCTATAAAATCTCTGTGTTCCAGTAACTGTCTCTCTTGCAAATGAGGAATTCCTTCGTCCATGTTCAACTGCTGTTCGTTTCCTCTGTTTCGATTTTTGGGGCTCTGTTCAATAATCTGTGGGACGGTAGGCTTGGGAGATCTTGGGGGGATCTTTGCGTCTCCAGTCTCTCTCTCTCGCTCTCCCTCTTCAGTGCAGTGTTGAAAGTGTGAAGCAGTTGGTCCCCCCCCACCACCGCGCTCGCACACACACACGCACACACACGCACACTCGCGCCGGCCCCACTGCGCTGGTAGTTTGCTCTCACTCCAGGCAGTGTTTGGCCACAGGGCACGCGCGTCGCCGGCCAGACCAGCACCCAGCTCACGTGCGGAACGTACCATCCGCGGTCCAGCCCGGAGGGGGGCGGGGGAGGAGGGGCCGGGCCGGGAGGGGGCGTCGGGAGAAGGCGGCGAAAGGAGGAGAACGGCGGGAGGGGGCGGGGACACCTGGTCAGGGCCACCGGAAAGGAAAAACAACTTCGGCCAAGCTATTCATCTTCCCTAAGGCGGTGCAGTCAGCAGGGGGAGGGGGGAGTGGGGGTGCAGGGGTGCGGGGCAGCCTGAGCTTCCTTGGCTCGGAAATGCGACTCCCTGGGTTCGTCCGTTATTACGGTGCAGGAATGTGAACGTGGCTTTTTGCTTTTCCACCGATTGTGCTGTTGGTTTGAACCACAGAAAGGAAAGAGAAAGAGAATTCGCGGTGGGTAAACTTCAATTCCAAAGGCAATTTTGGAGACTTGTTTGTTCACTGATCAGTGGCCTGGGGGGGACTCCCGGGCGCTGGGTGGAGGTTGTCCCGGAGAAGGAGCAACTTGCAGTCCGCTCTTTGAAGGATTTAAGATACATGAAAACGTTGTCACTGGTTCAGAATGTCGCAATCCAAGTGTCTTTCGGTGACACGGCTTCCCTGGGCCACCTAAACTTCCCCGCAGCAGCCGGAATTGCGGTGCCACTAATCACAGCAGCAGATGACGACGTTTGGGGCCGCGTGTGCTCCTGGAGGAAAGCGGCGGCAGGGAGCTAGCCGGGGTTGAGTGGGGATTGGGGAGGGAGAATGAGGGTGGCACGAGAGGGGCTACCGCAGAAAAGCAATGCAGCATTTATCACCCACCCGCTCAACTCCGCCGCATTCCGAGCCTCCGGAGACGCTACGTGCTTTCCCCAAACCCCCGCCCCCCCCGCGCGATAAGAGACGCCCGGAGTGTGCAGAGCCCACGTTTACTACCGCTGGCACCTCCAAAGCCTCCCTCCTTAATCCTGTCTCAAACGGGTACCAGCACAGGGCCAGCAACGTGATCCGACCTGCCGCTGCTGCCACATCACTGCTCGGGGAACCCGTGCGCGCGCGCGCTCTCCCGGCAGCGGCTGCGCTCGGCGCCGGGAAGCACAGGCCAGCAAGAGCCGGGTTACCTTTCCCCAGAGCCACCCTGGGAGCATGACTCACTGCTAGTGAGAGTTACCGGGAGGTGCCCGGGGATGCGCACTGCCCACGTCGCCGTGCCAGCCCAGGGGAAAGCATGTCCTGAGGGACTCCCAGGGGTGGGATGGAGGGGATATCTATTCCTCTGGATATACATAAAGGCACAGAGATGAAACCAAGGGTTTTTTGTTTGTTTGTTTTGTTTTTGCACCGAGAGGGATATTTACATTCTCTTGGGGGTGATCTCCGAAACATTCATTATTGCAAGTGATAAGTGACCCGAGGGGAGAAGAACGCCGAAGGTACACGCACCGGGGCGCAGCAGGGACTGGGGCGCCCGCTACGTGTCCCCCAGCCCGCCCCACCGGGCACGGGTTCCGGGGACGGATCTGGGTCGCGGGAAGCGGCGGCTGGGAGGAGGTCACGTGTCTGCGGGAGTCGCGTCTCCTCCCAGACTCCAGGAGCAGCCCGGGCCGCGGCGGCCGCTCGCACTGCTGCAGTCTCGGGAGTCCTGGGCGGAGACGCGCACTGCGTCTGGCTTCGTGACTCGGGCGGCGGCGGCGGCGGCGGCGGCCCAGGATCACCCCGGCGTGAGGAGACGCTCGCGGTCCGTTCAGTTCATCTGTTAAGAGGGCCTTTTACGGACTCTCGACTTCCTCAAATAGGGGGACGTATTTTCATCACGATGCAATTTAACCACGATGATTCTTAATTTAAAAAGTATTTTTAAAATGCTGACTTTATTTTAAACCTCGGTCCAATCTCTCTCCTCTTTCCAAAAGGTTAAGTGATTAAGTCCCTTTAATATAGGGAGGGTATGTCGGAGTCCTAAAATCGACCTATTCCTGTCGTACTGTATCGTTTTTACCTCTTCTTAATTGTCCAAAAATGGGAATGCCGTTAGACGAATAATTTAAAAATTAAAACACCAGTTCCCCTTCTAGATTTCTGAATGTTTGGAGTAGAAAGGGGATGTAAATATTTGCTCCAGAGCTCAATTTCACTTGAAAATGATGACTGGTTAGGGAAAATGAAATAAAGACTGAATCACTGCATTTTGGCCTTGTCGGGCCAAAAGCACAAGGCAGACATCTGACCAGAGCAAACCTTGCGGGCTAAGTCTGGGGTAGAGATTAAAAGCAAGTTGGAATAGGAGGAACAGGGTCAGGAGCGTTGAGGCTCAAGGGTGCGTTAAGTGAGCTTGCAGAGCCCCATAATTTAAAGAGAAAAAAAGCTGCAAATAACAAATGCAGCCTATTACCTTACCACTTCCAGCCTCCTTTCTCCCCCATCCCTTCTGCCCCAAGCTTCCCTGCTTCCATAGCCAATAGTTTTGTTTTCTCTTCCACTCCCCTTTTCCGGTGATACCTACTTAAACTGCAAATGGGGTCTTTCCAGTTTTTGATCTCCTTTGTTGTTCTTGGTCCTGTTTTTCTCTTCTTTTCTGTCTTTCCTTTACATACTCACCTTTTTACTAATGTTTCTCTTTTCCATTTCTTCTTTATCTTCCTTTCCCTTATGCTCTCCTCTGGCTACCTTTTCCCTGTTAAATACCAGCTTTTGTCCTTTCTCTGTCGTTTTGTCAATCTCTCCTGTTTGCTTTTTGCCCTTTTTTTTCTTTTATCTTTCACTCTGGTGACTCTTCTTGGTTTCCTTAAACTTGAATCTCACTCCTGTTCTTTTTCAAACTCTTGGCATCTGGAATACTGGGCATAGTTTGATGCCTCTGAATATCCCTTTGCTGCAAGAAGGTTATAAGAATAGCTAACAACTCTATAGCATTTAGGATGAGAGTACCAGACTGGATTCAAAGAGTTTTTGATGTATTAACTCATTAATCATTTCCACAACCCTATAAGATAGACACTGTTATTGTTTCCATTCTACAGATGAGAACATGCTTACACAGTGAGACTACAAAATGTTTCCAAGGTTCCAGAGCCAGGATTTAAGCCCAGACAGTGGGTTCCAGAGTCTGGACCCTGAACTCTTACCCCTCACTATGAATAGTGAGGGGTAAGGTGTAAGTGTTAACTAGTTGCTTCAGGGATGCTTTTCTATTTACCAGTATAAGTGTGCACATTTGCATGTGTGTGTTTGTGTGTGTGTTAGTGAACTTGTGTGTGGGAATTTTGCAAGAGAGATGGAAAAGGGAGAGTTGTTAGCGTTAGAGCTAATGGCAGAAATAAGAAAAGCTATGGCAAAAAGAAGGGATGCAATCTTTTGCCATGTCAGTGAGTCATTCAGTTGGCATCTAGCTTCAAATTTATTTATTTAAATCCAAATATCTTAATTAATTGTTATAATTTTATACAGATGGACAGATGGAGGTACAGTTTAGAAAAGGCTGATGGTAACCAGCTGTTCACCAGCTCTGCTGAGCAAACTAAGCCAAACTCGAATGTGAAGACTTCAGGTTAGTAATAGGAAAAGTTCACCTGTGGTGAGGTTAGAAAGGGAAAAAAAGTCCCCTGTCTAACAAAGGAACAGAAACTGGAATGTCCTCTTTGGATATGTTTAAAAATAGGTTGAGTCTTATCTTTTTAGGAAAGCTTAATGCCATCCTGCTGAAAGCCAAGATACAAGATGAGCTCAAAGCCCCTTTGAGCTTATAATTAAAGAATTTTGTGATTCTTTGCTTTCAATTAAAGATATCCATCTTCCTCCTTTTAGTAGGTGAGGGGGAAGCTGTTTCCATTGCTTTTCTTTAGTTAAGGAAATCACTATCTATATAGACACTAATGAAAGGAAATACTTAGCCCAGTTCTCCCCCCTGCATAACTAGCCTAAGTCCTGCACTCATTATATTCACCCTGTGACTTTAGAAGGTCTTATCCTGTTTGCAAAGTCTTGGATTTCCAACAGAAACAGAACTCGCCTGAAAAGATTAAAGATTCCATGGGGAATAGAGGTTTTCTTCCTCTTTAGGATTCTGCAAGCCATACTGTCCTTCTGCGGAACTGACTCCAGGGTTTTAGGAACCCAGGTCTGATCTAAACTAACTGCATTTCTGATGGTCTTAAAGGCCCAAGATCTGCCTCAGGGCATGGAGTCTCCTGCCTGTGACGCTGTGAAAATGATCCATCTGAAGGGCAGAAACCTTTCTTGATCACCTCTGTTTTAGACAGCGGACAAGAATCTACAGACATTCTACATCAAGGTTAAGCAGAGTCCATAAAAATCTAAAAAAGTTTTGGACTGATGCTAAAATCAAGGCCTGGCAGGGATAGCAGAGATAGCGAGTGGGATCTGGGCTTACAAAAGCTTCCCGAGGAATTTCTGCTCTTGGCGCTCACCTGTGCTCAAGGGAGAAGGGTTAATGTTGTCAGGCACACCACAGAAGAAAGGGTGCCTCAGAGAAGGATTCAAGGAGGGACAGCAATTCCACTGCTACCCACCAAAGCCAGTATGACTTTAAAATATTGATGGTGTTAATTTGCTGAAGGTACCAGACTTTAAATCCCAGAATAGAAGATGGGGTTTTCCAGTTGCATACTCAGCAAATGAGCAGAAACAGCACATGTGTCCCCTTTTAATTTGTAAAGAAACTTAAGTCTTTCTATAGACTATCAATTAATGTGTCTGTGGCTTTAAAGATACCTGTGAATCATGTTTTATATTTATGTAACACTGCTCAAGAAGTTTATGCACTTATTAGTCTTTGCATAGCTTCAAGGAGTAGATAATATTGAGTACTGGAAATAAATTTTATTCCTGCTGTAATCATTTGTATATTTGTATTTATGTGATGATCAAAACCATTCATGCAGGCTGTTCTGAATTTCATGTGTGCTCAACATTCCTGCTTAACATGCAAAAGACAACTAGGAGAGAGCCAAGCCCAAAGAGGGCAATAGGAGGATTCCCTGGCCCTTCTGCCCCTAAGTATCTGCCTGGTCCTTCCTGCTGCCTATGTGCTTCTCATACTGATTGAGGTGGATTCC